TATGTTTATTTCGATTTTTTTTTGGGGTTATAAGGTCGATTGAATTGACCGATCCTGTTTTAAGATAGGGTAGAGAAAATAACATATAAACTATAAAGTTTTACTGAAAAAAAACTTTTGAAATGCATTTAGAAGGTTTTAGGGATTACAGAAAGGAAATTTGAGATTTTTGAGATAATGAAAAGTATATTTAGTTTTAACATGAAAATTGCTTTGCACATGGACTATTCAAACCAAATATTCAATATATCAATGGACAAATATTTATTTTATTCTATTAAAAATATTTCACTAAAAAAATATGACTTTTTGCATGTGAAAGACTTATAATATGAACTGAAAGACTGCTAAATTTTGTGAAGACATACGTACTGTATTGAAAGCTAGAACTATTAAATCTGTAAAAACTAATCAAGTACAAAGAGGTCATGTGATCGGTCAAATTGACCGAGCCCGTGTTGAGAAAGTTATGTGATAAAGTGAATTACCCCTGCAAAAGCTTCCACAGATATAGTAGCAAAGCCTAGTGTTTTATGAAATAAACCCTTTTAAGTATATTAACTGTAAACATATTTTTAATTAAAATTTACTTTTTAAGTGTTTAGTTTTTTAAATATAATCCAATGAAAAATTACTTACCATCCATTTCTACTAACAGCTGATTCAGTGTTTGTTCTTCTTCACCCGTTGCACCCTCCAAGTTCCTGTTTTACAGTGTAGAAAAAGTTTAACAAAATCACCAATCAATACTATATACAAGAAAATTCTTCACAAATGCTAATTTGATACATGTATGAGAACGGACACATAATGTTTGTTAAATGTTGTATACAATCATTGTAACTGGAAATAACATCAACAAACTGGATAATTTTCTCTAAATATCATAATGTAACCTTTAACACCACAGTGGACATACTTCAGGAGTGTTATGAAAATTAATGTGTAATAAATGTATGGGTAAATTCTCAAACCTGCATGTTAACCATAAACCTTTATGCCCACAGTGGACATATTTCAGGAGTGTTATGAAACAATTATTTTGTATAAATTCATGGATAAACATACAAACCTATGTCAACTATAAGCATTCGTGAATACACATTAACAAACTGCTTTCAAGTTTATAAATGTTTCTCTTTAATTACACTGCTGTAAAACAAACAGGTTATTTGTGTGTTTATAACTATCATACACTTTAATTCATGATAAATTATGTGGCTCAGCTGCTGCTGTACAAAGCCATCTTTAAAAATCTAACAGCTCTATTTTCATTAAATAGAGTTAATGCGTGTTAATTACAGAAATTTAGGCATTTCACCATAAGCCTTGTTTCTTAGGGGACTTCAAATTCAAATATGATGCCTCTACCATTGTACACTATATATTACAAGAATAATTGGTATAGCACTCCCCTACCTTATAGTGGTCCTGTCCCTACTAAACTTAAATGTGAATCCAACAGTGAATCCAGACACGCACAAGATATCACAATGAAAGAAACTTAAACCTCCACAGAGAAATGGTTATTATTGGCGATACCAGTAGATACCACAAGGAAAGAATTTAATGAACTTTCATAGAGGAATGGTTATTATTGGCGATATCAGTAGATACCACAAGGAAAGACATTAATGAACTTTCATAGAGGAATGGTTATTATTGGTGATACCACAAGGAAAGAAATTAATGAACTTTCATATAGGAATTGTTATTATTGGCAATATCAGTAGATACCACAAGGAAAGAAATTAATGAACTTTCATAGAGGAATTGTTATTATTGGCAATACCAGTAGATACCACAAGGAAAGAAATTAATGAACTTTCATAGTGGAATTGTTATTATTGGTGATATCAGTAGATACCACAAGGAAAGAAATTAATGAACTTTCATAGAGGAATGGTTATTATTGGGGATATCAGTAGATACCACAAGGAAAGAAATTAATGAACTTTCATAGAGGAATTGTTATTATTGGTGATACCACAAGGAAAGAAATTAATGAACTTTCATAGAGGAATTGTTATTATTGGTGATATCAGTAGATACCACAAGGAAAGAAATTAATGAACTTTCATATAGGAATTGTTATTATTGGTGATATTAGTAGATACCACAAGGAAATAAATTAATGAACTTTCATATAGGAATTGTTATTATTGGTGATATCAGTAGATACCACAAGGAAAGAAATTAATGAACTTTCATATAGGAATTGTTATTATTGGTGATATCAGTAGATACCACAAGGAAAGAAATTAATGAACTTTCATAGAGGAATTGTTATTATTGGTGATACCACAAGGAAAGAAATTAATGAACTTTCATAGAGGAATTGTTATTATTGGTGATATCAGTAGATACCA